TACACGACGGTGGAATCTTTGAGTTGGTAAAGAAAGATGCGTTACAATCGCAGATGTTGTAGAGAACTGGAAAGGCATATATCAATCCCTATAGAAAATTTCGATTCCTTAGGTATCTTGCAAAGTGTAAACTCACAGGTGAGGCCTAGACTAAAAGCTGTTCGATCTATTTAAGGCAGAGAAATTAAGAAGCCCTGATTTGAGAAAAATGCTTTCTGGCAAAACAAAATCACGAGTCCGTTTGGCCTGATTTAAGAAAAACAACTTCTGGATCATAATTCAAAAGTTATCAGATAGAACTGCAGTAAAGAGGTTATTCTCTAGTCACAATGCAAGATATCACGCGTTATCGCTTAGAGAACAAATATAATCGGCTGAATCCTTCATCACCTATACATTAATATCTGCTATATTTCCTAGAATCATCTGTCAATCGTAGTTTCATGAAATGTTCTCTTCGCTAGATTTTCATTAATTGCAGTTGGCCATTTGTGCGTCATATGGGTATATAACTTCACTTGTTCCACACAAAACCAAAAAGGTTGAGTGATTGTCGAATAACCATCGGTAAGTGAATATCTAATTTGTATTATATTTAGTCTTAAGCTTTAAGTCGATCCACCGAACTGGTTGATTTCCTCTTCTACTGAACTTGATTAGTTGATTATAATAGCGTAAGAAGTAAGCGGGTCCATTTATAGCTACTTGTATTTTCTCTCGTCAAACATTCAGCGTATGGACTAAGCCAGTCCTGAATCCACAGAAAATTTACGGCACAAGTTGAATACGAATCCCGTACCCGTCAGACAAAACAAATACAATGCAGAAAGAACAATCTTAGCTACTCTTCTTATAAAGCACAGGTTTTAAAACACCATCTGTTAATCTGTACTTGAACGCGAACATCTTCTTTTCTTGTTCATCCCCTTTTCCTTCTTTCGTTCATGTCTTGCCTGAATCTGAGGCTTCCGCCAGCCAAGAAGGCATGGAAGAGCTTCACATCCAAATTCCAAAGAAAACTCCACAAACTCAACATGTCCAAATCTATCAAGAAATCAAAATATAGAACCAACAATATTATTAACAAAACGTTTAATCATAAACGTGATGAAAAAAGAAAGAGGCCTGCATGCCAACGTCGTGCACTTCCTTTCAAACAACGTAGCAGCCGCTTTGGCCATGCACACAAACAATTAGCACCTGTATATATTGTTAAGCTCTTTCGAGGGCCTGTAAGTGCTAGTGAGTTGGTGGCAAAGTTTCCGCCAACTACAAGGACTATGAAGATTCTTGATCATCAGGCTGCGACAACAGTAGAGCCAGGAGGAACGAGCATGGGATTAGATGAGATCATGAGAGGGGAAAGAGGCTGCACGGCGGATGATATGTGGGAGTCATTGGGATTTGCGTCTCCCCAGATGCAAGGAATAGATGAAAGAGCTGAGCAGTTCATTACGACATTCAGGGAAGAGATGGAGATTCAGGAAACGATTGAACGAGGTTTATAGCCTTGTTAGTTCATATAATTAAGGAACCTTCTCAACAAGATTTTGCTTTCTTTTGTTTGCAGTTGCTAGAAATATTGATTAAAAGATCCGGTACGTAGACATATATATATATACACTGATCAGGGGTTTGGAGGCTTGGTTATGCAAGATTATGTACATGTGAAGTATTGCTTATGCTGAGGTTTTTTCAAGGTAGATGACTGGGCTGGAACGTTGAAAATAAGTTGTTGGGTCTGAAGATCACAAACTTCTGGGGAAAAAAAAACTCCTCGTGGAGGCTCTCCAATGCTTGAGTTAATAAAGCATTAATGAAGAGAAATCTCAAGAGATTATGTTATGTATCTATGTTCGCTTTATATTTATTGTGTGTAGATGAAGATGGCCAATTTGTTGAAGATCTATAATGAATTAAACTTCTTCTCTACCTTGAGGTTCATGGATGCATATTTATAACTATAAACCCTGTCCATTTGCATGATGCTGATGAGAGTAAAAACAAAACAATTGTGACCCCTAAGCGGATAGTAATTATTTAGATTTATAGTCACTGATGGATAATGCTATTATATTAGAAGAAAACGATCTTATCAATTGCTAACTGAGCCTAAACATGTTAACCTTCGCAAATTGGGAAATGGTTCAGCGAAACCACGCGTTTTGGACAGCTCCCTTTCGTCAAGGCAGTTTGGGCTTACGCTCTTTAGCCCTGTGGGATTCGGAAATCCAATCTTGAACCCCCAGCCATTCTTAATAGGGACACAAAACATGAGCTGCTCGGCTTGGGCCAAACTTATGTCCCATTAGGTTTGGTTAAATTAGAAATCCAATCTTAGATTTCCATTTAAGAATATATATATATATATATATATACATATATATATATATACACACACACACAATTTAGTAGTTAAACTAAATTTCTCGTGTTTTTCTAAAAAAATAAAAATGATTTGCATATAAAAGCACTCCTGACCATTACGAAAATGATGGTTCCAAGTTTTTGAAATGGCTTGTCTATAACCAACAAATTAGAAGCACGAAAGAGGCATCCTCTAGTGCCACACAATTTTCATCCATATAGTTGTTTTACTATTTCTTTGACAATAGAGGTCAGCAGATCCCATGCCTCTTTCTTAAATTTAATTCGGTTTCGGGGTATCAATTATTATTTTTAATTAAAATAATATATTTTGGTTTCCAAAGCTTTCAGAATATATCATTTCGGGGTTGCATTATATGTTGGCGTACACACACACACATATATATATATAAAATTCAAAATATTGATATAATTTCAATTCAAATTCAAAAATAAAATTATGTAATTTAAATTTTAAACACAATTAACTTGACGGATTTAAAAACAACCTGAATAAGTGATAAAAATATTATTTGACTAAAAAAATTTAAGATAAGATCTTTTTTTAAAAAAAACATTATTGAGACGAGGACATATTAAGTTTATTTGGGTTGACTTTCTAAATTCATAACCTTATTTATGAGACCATAATAACCATAAATAAAAAAAATTAAAATAAATTATGAAACTCAATTACTAATAAATTTATTGTTGAATGATAAAATTAATAAAAAAATTCAATCTAAAAAAACATAATAAAATGATATTTCTAAACAAAATGATATTTCTAAACAAAATTATGAATTTAATCAAAATTATAAAAATTTCATTGACAGTCTTGCAAAGCTTTTCTAAACTTCGATTATTTTAAAATTTTAACATGAGATATAATAATATGAAAAGAAATTCCTCATAAAAATTTATCCAGATGCAATGGTCAGCTTAAGAAATATATGATTGATACTGTAAATCTTAATAATATTTATATAAAAAAAATATTTAGTTGAAATGAAACTAAAACATTTCAACTAGAATTTAGGTGGAATTTTCAAAACAAGCGGAGATTCTAAGCGAGAAGAAATCTATTCTGGTTTGTTCTGTTTTTTAAATTGAAACGAGATATACCGGTCATTCTAAATGGAACAAAATAGAATTGACAACATTTGCAATTTTAATGTTTAAATAAATTTTTTTTTATGAGTTTAAAAATTAATAAAAAAATATTTTTCAAACTAACATGGAGGTTATACTTTTAAAATAGTCTAATAATTTATTTCTTTTAGTTTTGATTATGTATAAAGATAAAACTTTTGAAAAAACTTTTATAAATCAAGTTTTTTCCAAACAATAATGGATTGGAATGTGGATGTTACCTATAAAATAATCCCCAGATACTAAAGTTAGTTTAAGATTTGTTTTTTGTTAAATGATTTTATTTGATGTTACATGTTTTTTTTACCTTAAAAATATGTAAAACATTTAAATATGAGCTTAAATTTTTTTTTTGTTTTGAGTGGATTTCAAGTTTAGGGAGGTTGTTTATGTTTTTCATGATGAGTTGGTTTAATAAAATATCTAGGATGTTATATATGTGTTTTGAGTCAAAATTAAGTTTAAAATAAGTTTTTAGATAAAAAATTAAGAATTTTATTTTTCCAGTCATCATGATAGTTGAATTCTAATGATAAACAAACAAAACATTATTTTTTTATACATGGGATAATAACATGTTATTTTCCTTATTAAATTTAATATATATATATATAGGCTCTCATGGAGGTCATTGCTTCGTTAAGCTAGATATTAGTTTTGACTTGATTTTTTTAAAATAAAATTAATTTTTAAAAAAATAATTTTTAGATTTATATTTTATAATAATTTTTTTAATAATATTAGATGCGTTTTTAAATAATAATGTATAGTTCGTGTTCTCTTAATTTTATATATAGAAATATGGCAGAGAAAGAACCAATAAACTATTAATTTCTATGGCTTGTCATTAGCACCGGACCAGGACAGCCATCTCCATTCCTTCCGGCCAAGTATCCCGGCCGGCTCGGGATAGTATCAATCATCGCTCAATTCCGGAAAAGTCTACTTGTTTCTGTGGTTTGCAACTTTGCATGCCACCCCGATTTTTTTATCGCAGGTCAAGTGCAGCTACAAGCCTGCGAGTTAGCACAGGACCAGCCCCACACCCACCACCACCCCCGCCGCTCTGCATAGGATCAATCATTGCTCAATTCCGGAAAAAAGTACTTGTTTCTGTGGTTTGCATCCCACCCCTGTTAGGAATGAGCCCACACAGCAGTGGACGTCACACTAGGCTAGTTTTGTGTTTAGTAACATAGCTCCATCATCCATTAGAAGCTAATAATCTGCAAAATGGCCCTTAAAATAGGCTAGATAATGTTTCACCACTTGTGCCCGTGTCTCTACGCAATTTGATGTGTTTCATGGGGTACACAAACAAGCCTCGTGAGACACAAGTAAAAGAGAGTTCTTACAACACTGAATATTTCTCCTCCCACTTTGTTCATGTTTATTTACTTCACTCCCCATTTCTACACATTACATCAAGCATATTCTACACATTATATCTAGCATTCAAGGCAATATATTTTCTTAGGTATCAGAAAGTTTAACGTAAAGGATTTTTTTTGTAAGAATTTGTGGATTACCCACCCAGTTCTTCTTTGGCAACTCTCAAAGCTCACCACATCATCTCCAACCCTCCTAGCTTAATCAATCTTTTGTGAAAAGGTCTAAATATCTCTTGAAGCTAGCTTCAAGCTTTTCCACAAGTACCCTTTTCAAGATTTGAATTAATTTTCAATATAGGATTAAGTTAAGATCTGACAAAAGGGCAGTCCTTCATTGTAGAATTCAAAATCCGTGACAACTTGTTGAAACCACAAGAATCTAACATCGTTCAAGACCGGGGGTTTTCATTATGTATAATTCTGTCTTGGCTCAGTAAGTGTTAACTTAGTTGGAAACTTCATGGAAGATCACCATGCTTATACTTTAGGTTGCGATATATTTACTCATGATCAGAGGAGAGTGGGATTTTTTTCTTTGAATTAACTTAAAATAGAGTGTATCTCATTAATTACATCGTAATCTCAGGGAGTTGGTTTAAGTGATTAGGAAAAGATTCATTCAGCTCGAGTTCAATTAATAATCTGTTGATAAAATGATTAAAGGATAGCAAATTCCTTGCTTTCCCTGAAGAGCAAGCCTCATTATGCTTGGTTTTGCTCGGTTTTATTTACCGGCAACAGCAAGATTTTTGAAGTACAATGTTAATCCTCAATTTCGAACCAGTCAAGATGATTATGCTTATACATTTTCTCTTCCAGTTTTCCTTGCTTGGAAAAAGATTGCATGCTGGAGAAACGAACTTCTGGTTCACAAACGGGACAGTTTTGCGGAGTATATGTGCTCTTCCTTTCTTTTATTGTTATTATTATTATTCTATAATATTTTTGTCTTCCTTCTAAACAGTCAACAAACTGGACAGAAACAATCCATGATCATCTGCCATCTAACTAAACATATATAAAAGGAGGAAAAAAGGTTACAATTGTTCAAATTTCTAGTAAATCTAGTGATCCCCCAGCTCTAGTGAATAGGTCGTGCCAATATTCAGTGCTATCATACATATTTGAATTAGTGGCATAGACTTGTTCCACCTCAATTACTAGTGGAGAAAATGGAAATTGAAGTTGTTGCTCGGTGCCAATGGCCGAAAAATCACTCACACTTGAATTATCAGCAGACAATACTTCTGACCAAAAATTCTCATCCATTTCAGGAAAATCATCCGACGACTCGATCTTCATGCACATGTTATTACTGGTATCAATATCACCTGTGATCAAAGAGGAGGTGTCACTTGAACATTGTTGCGGTGAGATTGGTCTATGTTCCTCGGTCTGATCAGATCCTGCTGCAAGATTTGATGAATCGACTAATTCTTGATCTGTCTTTAATTCGTGATCAAGTCTAGACATATCAACGGATCTTCCCTTGATTTCTGTTGTGACAAGATTTTTCTTCAGTCTTTTTTTCAAGTGGGTGTGCCAAACATTTTTAATTTCGTTGTCCGTGCGCCCCGGTAATCTTGCTGCAATTGCAGACCATCTGAATAGAAAAAAAGAAAAGAAAATCATGTCAAGATATGCACTAACCTTTATTTTGATCCTCTCTGATTTGCAGAATTTAAAATGCTAAATGAGTTGTTGGCACGTATCATGTCACATGAATGATTACTATTTTGTCCATTAACCAAAGCGTGCCAATCTTGTTTGAGAGTGCTTCAACTTGAAAAAAGTGTTTTTTTTTTTTTTTTGCATACGCTAATGGAAACTGCTAGGAATCTGTTCAGACACACATGTTTCTGATACAACCATGAAAAAAAAAATGACATGTTGGTCAATCACATGAGGGAAAAAAAAAAAAACTTTAAAATGACAAGTTGAGTTTTTTGTTTTTCTAGTTTTTGGTCTAGGGGATATTGTGGAGTGGCGGCTAAAATGACAGGTCCTTTAATCACATGAGAAATAAGTGTTTTCTGCCTAGCCTATCTCCCGTCTCCATACGAGGCACTAAGTATCAATTCTATGTTCTTCAGCTCTAGAACAATGCCCCATTATTAAATCTTAACCTTAATTTAATGATATTTGCTTCCTTCTGGCGAAGCTGTCCTATCCTTCCCTTGGCTGAATGGCTTGCCTACAGCCTAACTTAGCATTAAATGTGTCTGTGTTGTCAATATTATACCATGTAAATTATGATAAACAGTAGTTTGACTGAAATGCTAACATTGCATACCTATTTCCCAACATCTCATGCAATTTGATGATGGTATCCTCTTCTTCCCTGCTGAAATTTCCTCGTTTGATGTCGGGCCTCAAGTAATTTATCCATCGGAGCCTGCAGCTCTTTCCACACCTCAGTAAACCTGAAAAGGGAGTGAAAAGAGAACTGATTCAAAACCAAAACATTATGCAGTTCTTGTAATTCCCAAAACTTTCAGATGATCAATTTTACTTAGTAATCCATGCAATTGCTTAGAATTCACTTCAGAAGTTCTAACTGATCTTGTAATTAAAGCACAAAAAACAGGATCACCTACTTGTGAAATTCCAACTTCAAATCACAAACATGTGTGGCAGAATCTTCATTTTATTCTTAGTACTAATGAGTAATGAATATCTGCTTTGAACAGGCAATTTTTGTTTGAAAGCGATGTGTATAAATTACCAGCTTGTTTGGGAAGTGCACGCCAATTTCCATGGCCGTGAAGTTGAATGTAATTGATGAGAATCTGATCTTCCTCAGCAGTCCATGGACCTTTCTTCAACCCCATTTTCTCACAGCATGGAGCTCTCACCATTTTTTATACCTCAGAGGTTGAAAGAATGGCTAGTTCTGTGCAAAGAAATGAAAGAAGCTAGTTCTGTGCAAAGAAATGAAAGAAACTAAATGCTTAAAATATGAAGCAAGACCAGAGGTAGTGGGTGTTTATATATATAGGATGACAAGGGCATGCGTGTGTGTATGTGTGTGTGTGTGTGTGTGTGTGTGTGTGTAATATTCTACAAAGTACACCCCATCCATTCTTTTCGAAGGAAATATCAGCCCGCAATTTCTAGGAAATATCTCTCTCTAGTGTTGTGCAGCTATTTGGTTCGCAGAATGGTCAAATAAAAACGTGGTCATTTGCTTTAAACGGATGTGAACATGGTGGCTATGTGCAAGAGCAAGCATAAACGTGGGATGCAGATGAGCTCAAATTATTGAAGGCCAAATAATTTCACTCGGAAGGCATTAATTTTCAATCGTTGAAACTTTGAAATTTTCAATAGAAAGTTTTGGATGGATCAAGTTATTGTCATAAACTCTTCGAGGAATTGGTTGGAGATATAGAGATTGTTAAGGAAAAACTATCAAACTCCGAAACGTCTTGCGCCATTGAAAGAATAAAGGCCACTTTTTGTGGTAAAGACAAGAATTTTGCGTATTTCAGAATTCTCTCATAAAAGTTTTGGAAAAATAATAGGTAGAAAAGTATAAGAGAAATAACATAATTGATTACAACTACTATTGAGATCGAATAGCAGTTCAACGTAACTATTATTAGAAATAACAAGTTGTTTAAAAATTATATCTCTTTTAACTTAATTAATATGTAAAACAATCAATCTAAAATTTTATAAAAATTTAATGATAAAAAAAATAAAATTAAAGATCTAATGGCTAAGAAAGAATATGTCATTGGATACATATTGAAATTTTATTTTAGACATATTTAATATTATTAAAAAGATCTTGATAAGATGATTTTAATCACATCTTGAAAATCCATAAAAAAAATAATTATAATTTATTAGGGGTTTTTTTCAAAGCTAATTTAGGATTAATTACAATCTTATTTGGTATTCTTTCAAAGTATAAGTATAATCATCTTATCAATATTCTTCTAATAGTATGGAGTGTGTTTTTAATAAATCTTTTTATTATTTTTTTTCTGCCACATCATCATATCTTCTCTCTTATTTTTAACTATTGAATTTTGAATATTATTTTTTTAGTAATTGAATCTTAATAAAATTTTAGTTTGATTTTTTTTTAAGTTAATTAATTTCTAAAAAAATTATTTTTGAAATATAGCTAAACAATTGCTATTAGGAAATTATATTATTTTTCAAAACAATCCCTAAAATCTCAATTAATAATGATTTAACATGTATTTTTAATATGTTATTACAAAATCAATTTTATTCTTTTAAAATAATTAAAATATATTTTTTATTAATTTTTTTCTTCCAAGCTAATTAATTAATCTTTAATATGAATTAAAATTATAGTAAATAAATTCTATAGATATTTCAGTTATTTATAAAGCAACACAATTTTATTTTATTTTTACAAACACCGCGCACCTCTCTCTCTTTCTTTAAAACCTTTTATCTTATACAATCATTCTTTCTCTCCGGTGAGCCCCTCGTCTACTAAAGTTGTCACTTTTTATATAATATTAAATCATATGAATTATTAATTATATAAACTCGGAAAAAATTGATAAATTAAAGACTCAATATTTTAAAAAAATAAAATTAATTCAATGAATATATATGTCGGGAGGAAAAGGCTAGAAAACAAACCATCACTATGCAAACTTAAAATGGTTTCTTTCGCACAATTTCTTGAAATAAAATCAAAAGCATTTTCTATAATAAATAATGAACTTGTGAGAGGATTTTCTGTTTTCTTCTTCATGGAAATGGATTCATTCGAGTAAACCTGGCTTCTTCCCGCTCGCCCTATGTAATTCTATTAAAGATGTATCTAATTACGACCTACGGATACATGGACACTTAATTAACATTGTAGTGTGTGTGTGTGGGTGGGTGTATATATATATATATATATATATAGGCAGTGGTGCAATAAGATTTTATAATTTAATCTTTTTTTATTGCTTAATAATCTAGTCGAGGACATGTTGTAGAGCTATTTTAATAATAAGTAAATTTCTTTTTTATTTGGTGAAAAATTACAATTCTATTTTTAGGGTTTAAGAGTGATTAATTGTTGGTATATATATCTATATAATCTGGTATCATTCTTCTTCTCTTTTCTATCATGATTCTGCTTCCATTTATGAGTTGATTTTAGCATTATTCTTAGAAGAAATATCAAGGATATAGCTAGAATTATTCTTGTAATCAATTCACGATATCTATATATATATGTGTGATAGAATGTAATACAACTAATATGAAAAAAATTACAATCTTTCTTTGTCAATCTTTTTTATTTTTTTTATAGTATCAAAGTCGGTTCATATTTACCAGTCTTATATAGTTATTGTTTAGATATCTTTTAGTAGATTGGAGAATATAGAAAGTTGTATTGCTCCTTCTTCATTCAACTAACATCTATATTCTGATTTGAATCTTCTTGATATGAATTCAAATCAACGTTTATGTTCTGTTAAATGAAATGAGTTCAATTATCTTCCTTGATCAAGAGTTATGTCATTAGTACTTGGTGAAAGATCAAGAATTGAATTTATTAACAAAAGTAATGCTACTCTTGATGTCAACTCTCCCCAGTACAAATTATAGTTTGCTAACGATCAGATGGTTCAGTTATGACTACTCAACATTATGGAACCATACATTGTTGAAATCTTTAGCTATTCTGAATGTACTGCAGATTTATGAGATGCAGTCAAAGAGATGTATGAAATTAGAATAATGTTGCTCGTGTTTTTCAGCTTAAGAAAGATATTTCATGCTTGCACCAGGAAGGAAAATCATTTGTCCAATGCCTTGGAAATATGAAAAACATATGGAATGAATTGGCAATCTATGGACTTCACACCATTGATGCTGCAACCTTACTTAAACGAGTTGAAGAAGATAAAATCTTCCAACTTTTGGCTAATTTATCTCATGAATATAAATATTTTCGTAGTTATATACTCATGAACTCTAAATTACCATCCTTTGCAAATGTGAGTGCGACTATTCAACGGGAGGAAACTAGAAGAAAGGTTATGACCTTGAGCAGCATATCAGATTTCTCTGAAGCCCTAACTTTTGTATTCCATCAGAGATGTTATGAAGAGAAAGGGTAGAAAACCTAATTTGAAATGTAACTATTACAACAATCTTGGACACTTAGTTGAATGATGTTGGGATCTTCATCTTGAACCAAAACCAAAGCTTTCAAGAGACAGCAAGGGAGGACATAAGCCTTTTCAACCATCAAGGTATAAAGCCAACTCTGTGACCAACTAGTCTGCAAATGGATTATCAACATTTACTTCTAGCCCAATCGAGCTCATTAATGAATTTACATCCTATCCTCATGTAAAGTAGAGTGCAAAACAGAGTGGAGGTGATTTAGAGAACAACAAAGATTCATCAGCATTTATTAATCAGTTTGTAAGATTTTTAGCTGCAAATAAAAATGTCTCATCTCTAAATGTACCAGGTATTTTGAATGCCTTTTCTTCTACTCTTATTGTAAGTAATATGCATGATTTTTGGATCATAGATTTAGGGTCACTGATCACAAACCAACAAACATAATCAATTGCTTGACTTTAACAATTTTTCTCCATCATCTCAAATATTCATTGCTAATGGTAAATATGCACCAATTTTTTAGGAAAGGAAGATTAAATTACTTTTTCAAACAATTGCATCTCCAGCCTTATATGTTCCCTCTTTCCTATTTAAACTACTCTTTGTTGGAAGAATTACAACATCACTAAAGTGTTATGTTGTTTTCTTTCCTTACAATGTTGTATTTCAAGATCTACTCACCAGGAAGACGATTGGTGAAGGATTCTTCTTTCAAGGTCTCTATTACTTTTCTAAATATTTTTGCATACCCAAAAGCTTTTAAGTCACTGATTATTTAGCTTTAAAGCCATAGTTATGGCATCAGTGTTTGACACATCCTTCAAAGCATATTTTGGAAAAACTATTTTCAAATTTGAATAGTAAATTAATAAACTGTGATGTTTGCCCTTTGTCAAAATCTACTTGTTTACCATTTTCTTCTTCCACATCTTATTCAGTTAAACCTTTTAATTTAGTTCATACCAATGTTTGGGGACTTGTCGTTGAGTCTTTTAATGGTTATAAATACTTCGTTACATTTGTTAATGATTTCTCTTGTTTTACTTAGCTATATTCGTTAAAAGCAAAAAGTGAAGTTACCATAATATTTCAAGATTTCCATCATGTGGTTCATACTTAATTCTCATCTAAAATCAAAATTCTACAATTAGATAATATCTCTGAATATATGTCCAATATCATGATACAATACTTGAGCATACATGACATTATTCACCAAACTAGTTATGTCTATAGTCCACAACAAAATGAAATAACAAAGTGAAAGAATCGAGACTTACTAGAGAAAATGAGATCATTAATGTTTCAAATGCATGTTCCTAAAATATTTTGGTCTCAAGAGGTACTCACAGTTGCCTACCTTGTAAATCGATTACCTAGTAAAAATCTAACGTTTAATTCTTCAGCTAAGTTACTGACAGGGAAGAAGTTATCTCTATCACATCTAAAAGTTTTTGGTTGTTCCTCTTATGCACACATTTCATCCTCTTAGCATGACAAATGTATGTTCTTGGGTTATTCTCTAATACAAAAAAGATATAAGTGTTACAATCACACCACTCATAAGCTTGTTGTTACTAGGGATGTTTGGTTTGATAAACACATATCTTAATATTCCTCTTCTAGTAAGATCATTAATCAGGGGAGTTTTCATCAGCTTTATTTTCATTTCCAACTCAAGTAGTCGAGGTATATTGCCTAGAATAGTTTTACTATAATGCAAGAATGGATATTCATATTGATCTTATTTTAGCTACAACAAAAAGGGCTGATCTGCAAATTGAACATCAGAAGCACCTTCGTTCCTCCTCCACATGTAATGTTATTCGTAACTGTAGACCATTATCCAGGCTTCATGATTATATGACA